TCTCATTAAGTACCTGTCAAGTAGTGACTCACTTCCTCAGTACCACTGGCATCCCTCTGCCCCAGGTCAGCATCCAACCATTCCACCACAATTAAGAGGGCGGGGCTGGGTCCCTCCTGCTACTACTGCTGCTCTCCTGGATAGGTAAAGCCAATGGCAGAACCTGGGGACACACCCAGCTCAAGCTCCTGGAAGGGAAGGAAGGAAGGTGACTGCTAGTTAACTCCACTGCCCACTGCCTCTCTAGGGAGCAGGGACACAGACCTGGCCAGTCAGGACAAGGCAGGATGATGGGTGGAAGGAGTGGAATGGAGAATTCTGCCCAGAGATTACACTGGCTGCTATTTTCTTTGGAGTCAGGAAAGCAGACCAAACAAATAGGCAGGACCTTTGAGGTGGAGGCCAGGCTGGTTTGACTTCTATTGATGGAAGTCTCTGATAACTGTTTAATGGCCAATCTGGCATGAACATATCCATATAACAAAGGTTAATCTGTCTGCACCAGACTTGCCTGTCTATAGACGTTTCAGTCACGTTTCTAGAGTTAGGTTCAGCTTGTCCAAGTCTTCCTTTTACATATAATCCCTTTAGTTTGGTATTTAAGTAATTTATCCAATGTCATACTACTAATTGCTATTAGACACTTCTGAGCTCTAGCAACCCCAAATTCCAAAAATAACCCAAAAGCCATAGTACCAAAACAAAAAGTGGGTGTCAGTATATGGTCTGTGCAGATTTTTATGGAATGTTCACACAATGTGGCAACAGGGCCATGGGTCAGACCAGCAGGCTAATTCCATCTCTAGTTTATTACCAATTACTGGAAGAAGCCAAACTGGAGATGGGCATAGGTCTTGAATGAGATGCTTTATTGGCCAAATGAAACAATGCTGAATAGCCATTCAATTTAGCTTGTTAAACATAAGTAATCAGGTAGCAATATTCTGAATTTGAATAAATCAGAGAACAGAAGTCAGAAGACAATAGGTCAGGCTCTTAGTCTGCCATTTACGAGTCATGTAACCTTGGCACAGATTTGAGCTTTAATGTCCACTGTATCTACAAAACAAGAAAAACAGCCATAATATCTTAAAGGAGTTGTGTGAGACAAAGTAAGAACATGTGACAGCAATGGAGCACTATGCAAAAATTAGGTAGCTATTTTTTGTCTTCAATTTTCTGTAATCTAGAATAGACTCCCTGCCAATTTTTAACAGGTTTATGAAGATGATTAAGATACCATAAAATTCACCCTTTTCAAGTGTTCGATGATTTTTAATGAGCAATGAAGTAACTTCCCCTCATTTTCTTTAAAATTTTTTTTTAAGTTTAGGGTTTTTTTTTTCCATAATATTGGTATATATTTATGGAGCACAGTAATACTTTGATAACATATAATGATCAAATCAGGGTAATCAGCATTTCCTCAAACATGAATCATTTCTAGGTACTGCTTCCCCCATTTTCCTCTGTTTCCTCTTGTCCGCCTGGTATATGTCAATTTACTCTTCAAAACAGAACTTAAAAATGAACTCCTTTGGGCCTCATCCTTATTTCAGGACTTCCCTTTATAATTTTTTTTATCCCTGCTTTTCCCCTCATTAACTATGAACAAGAAAGGGACAACAAATAACATTAAAACACAGCATCTTAAAGTATATGGACTACTTTCCAAATGGGTAATTCTTTCATTTTTTTTTTCATCCTATATTGTACCCAGAGCCCCTAAAGGAAATCAGAGTTCCTCAAAGGAAGAGACAGTAACAAGATGAAGAATAAAATTTTAAAGCATCTCTCAAATCCTCTCAACAATACAAGTGCATCAGAGAGTTTTTTACTTCTTCTTCTGATTCTTTTTTTTTAATTGCCAAAGCAAATGTTCCAAGGAAGCTCAAGGCAAAGGAAAAGCTGCCTATCCAGTTGATCACTTCGATCACCGGAAACCAATTGCAAATTCAATTCTGATGGCCAAGAACTTTAGAGAGAAGGTATCCTAGCTGCAGAACAGGATGCAAACATCGTGGATCATGTAGCACACTGACTGGGGCAGAATTCTGATAGCTAACAGTTTAATCTTATTGGAGAACTGATGCCCTTCACAGAGCTGTGGGTGACAAGTGGAAAGGAGCACCGGAGATCTGAGATCAGATTAGAGATGGCCTAATCCAGGCTTCCCAGTAAGTAATATGCTGTGCGTAAAACACTGCATCCCTTTCAGAAGGGAAGGCTGAGGAAGGGTTACCCAGGAGAGAGAGATCATACTGTCTTCATGATCAGAGGGATTCTTTGTTCTGAGTCATAGAACAAACATGGAGAAATACAAAGACCCATTCAGCAAATCCTTTTCTCTCTACCCACTTGCTAAAATTTCTTTAAAAAAAAAAAAATTCTTTTTTCCCCTTGATGACTTAGGCTAATAAGACTTCTAATCACCCCAATAGTCAAGGACTGGGGGAGACTGCGCAAGACGACCCACACTCACTTCAATTTCAAATGGTTGTTCCATCCCACTCCAGGTCTAAAGAGGAACCCATTCCATCTCTCTTCAGGAAAGGTCACTTCAATGCTTAATTTCTCTCAGCCCTCACTTGAGTTTAAAGACCCTCAAGAAAAAGCTTATTAAAAATTACACTCAGGGGCTGAGGTTGTGGCTCAGTGGCAGAGCGCTTGCCTCGCATAGGTGAGGCACTGGGTTCGATCCTCAGCACCACATAAAAATAAATAAACGAAATAAAGATATCGTGTCCATCTATAACTAAAAAATTTTTTTTTTTAAATTACACTCAGGAGAGATACATACTATTTCTCAAAAGTGCTTGCATTATTTGGGTAACCACAATGTTTTAAAATCATTTGGTCTAGTAATGTTATTTCATCATTTATAAATAGTAAAAATTAAGAAAAGCAAAAATTGCCTTGAAATGTATTTCAAACCTTACAAAGAATAATTAGTGTAATTCCAAGAGAAGCTGATTAGTGCTCTGATGGAAACCTGATGAGTGGTTATCATTGGTATGATTTCTAAAAGCAGATACCCTCTCCCCCAATCTGTCTAGCTTCCAGGCTTTCCCCCATCTGTCAGGTGCAGTGAAAATTTCTAGACTGGAGGGAGTTAAATTTAAAAATAGCAATAGGAGTGTTTTTTTGTTAAGATCTACAGACCTTGAAAAGGCTTCCAGGAATTTTGCAAGAGATTCACAATCTTTGATCTATTCCAATTGCCCTAGAGTGGAGGCACCCATCAGGGCTATTAGCCTTGAGGTAAAAGGACTGCAGACCTGGGTGTATGCCTATAATCCCAGTGGCTCTGGAGGCTGAAGCAGGAGGATCCCAAGTTTGAAGCCAATTTAGTCAGGCCCTAAGCAATTTAGTGAGACCCTGTTTCAAAATAAAAAATAAAAAGATTTGGGGATGTGGCTCAGTGGTGAAGCACCCCTGGGCTCAATCCCTAGTACCAAGATAACCAAAACCCACCAACTAACCAACCAAACAAACAAACAAATAAAAACCAAACCCAGAAAATAAACAAACAAAAGGATGTAGAGATAAATTAAAGCTACTTAATAATGTGAAACATGCTGATTAGGTTCTGATCTATGGAAACTGAGTAGCTGTATTTTCTCTAGGGCTATTGAGAAATTGCTGTTTCCTGAGCTTTTACAGGGTTTAGGCATAGTGATGAGATCTCTCCAAATATTTTGGCATTTAATAATTCCAATAACTCTATAAGGTATTATTTATCTTTAGAAGATTTTAGGGCCTGAGAGTAAAATGCCTAAAGCCACAGAGCTGGTGACTGATCTAACTCCTGAACCTCAACCCTATCCCAAACTGTTCCTCTGAAATCTGTTTTCATATGCTTTTCTCCCCAACCAGCCATCTTTGGATTCATCCTGATACCCTGATATTAGATGTGGGCTCTTCCACAAGCCCACAGAGCTGGGGATTGCACACTTACACACTTCTGGAGGAAGAGGCTCCTTTCCAGGCTCTTGGGCCCTTACTGATCAGCATCACCTATCCCCTTCTGAGCACTACACAGAAGTTTAAAGAACAGATTTTTCACAGAACCCCTTAATCTGCTCTCCCCACAGATTCACCACTCCATTAGCTAATGACCCACCTATTTGAGGAGAGTTAGTGGGCACAGAATTCCCAGAGGGTCACTCTTTCATCCTGATCTGATTTCATTAACACCCACATCCTTAGGTATTTCCCCCATTCCCCATGGTTTTAAAAGAGAAAACTGTAGACACACAAACAGCAGGGAGGGGCCAATGCCCAAGGCTACTAAACCAAGTAGAAGTCGACCCAGGGAGTCAGGACACAGTTCCAGGACCACTCTGTCACTAGCTAATTGTGACAAGGGGAAATTCAACTACCCACTTCTGGGCCTCAATTTCCTGAAATGTTAAAGAGGAGGTGATAAGTAGCAAGCTGCACCCCTTAGAAGATCAAGCTGACTATATTATATAAAGTACTCAAGTTCGTTTTCAATTTGGTGCTTCATGAATTTCCATTCTTCACCTTCCCTTACACTTCCATTCTCAGGAGAGAAAAGGAAATAAAGTGGCTGGATCTTCTAAACAAATTTACACAGAGTTCATGTGTATATAGAATTAGAAAAAAAGATTAAGTCTCGATCCCTCTTCACCCACCGTTCCCGTCCCCCCTTCCCTCTGATCCCATATCTTAAATGGAGAAACTAGAAGACCACAGTTGAAATGAGCTCTAAATAGGTCAAGCAAGCAAGCCCCCAGCTGCCACCCTCCTCCAGATCACAGGGAAGAGTGTGGCTGGAGCCAGGAGACGTGGGGGAGCCTCCGGGGACTGCACCCACAGACCAAGTTCCCTAGGCCCAGCCGGTCCGCGCCCCCTAGTCTCCCACGTCCTGGGTCTCCCGCCTCGGGGGAGCGTCCGCCAAACTCGCTGCTCTGCCTGGGGACTCGCGGCCCGGCCACGTCCCCTACAGTGCGCCGGGGTCGCCGACCGCCGCTCACCTGCGCAGGACAGAGCAGCAGCAGGAAGAAGCACAGGGCTGGACCGCGCGCGCTCATGCTGCGGCCACGCGGGGCTGCGCACGTCTGCTAGGATCGCTCCGCAGAGCGCCGGGATGCTCCTTCACTTCCCGGGGTTGTTTCAGGACCGGCGCCTGACTAGGGAGGGAGCAGGCGCGGGCGGCTGCAGGCAGCGCGCGCAGGTCAGGAAGGAAAGAGGCGTCGTCGGCTCCTCCCTTACTGGGAGGTGCTGCTACCGCCCCCAGCGCGCTCAGGGGCAGGGCCTAGAGGGGCGTGGCTTGGGGGTCCGGGGCGGGGTCGGGCTCTGACAGTGCCACGACAGCGGGAGACGTCTCCTAGGTCCGGTACAGTCTTTCTCATCCTGCGGCCTCTGAATGCGCAACGTTGGGTTGAGGACTCCCGGACCTGGGCAACTGAGCTTTTGGAATCCAGTCTGGGAGGATATTTCTAGAATCGTGTCAACAGTATCTGGCTTTGATGCTTTGTTTCCTTTCCGTCACCCTTATTTTCCTCCTGAATTGGAGAGGGTGGCGAGGTTTTAGCAAAAGCGAATACCTGGAGACAGTTTTCCCAATGAAGACCCCATTCCTCAGTGCAGTATATGTTTATCTCGGCCCCCAAAACTGAGCAGTTCTTCTCCCGAACCCAGTTACCCAAAAGGAATTCGTGCCTGGGAACCATCTAGCAAAGCTCGGGCGGTGACGCTGTGGCCTGATGGTGTTGTGATCCTAGAGCGCAGGGGGCGGAGCGCGGTTCAGGGTGGTGCGCCTCAGCCAATCTATTTGTTTACTGTGCTCGCAGACCACGTTTGGGAAAGTGCTGGAACCGCACCACCTGCTGGCGGAGCCTCGCCTCGCAGTAAACCAATGGGAGAGAAAATGCAGAGAATGATTCTGAGGGGAAGACCAGAGTGTATTCTAAGTTCTAGGTGAAGTCAAGCAACACATACACAAAAAAGGAACCTTTGTTTTTGAGCCATGCCCTCATTATATATTTTTTGTTCAGCACTTATTTTTATTGCATGAGTTTCTCTGTTACCATTTTCTCTCCAACTTCAATTATTTAGACCACTAAAATGCATCAATCATTACTATTTTGAAGTTAAAATGGAAGTAAGGATCTCTTTCCCAATAGTGGAAGTCCATTTACAGTGAAAAAATTATCATGTGTAGCAATGACCAAACTCTATGTAGGTAGCATGATAAAGGTGACCTTCCCATCCTTACCCTTCAAAGCACTATTTCAATTACCATCTCTCCAGTTGAGATGTCCAACTGGCTGGCCTGGCAGTGAAACTGTAGAGATTTCCTCTGGACCTTTAGGCCTAGATCTTCCATGAGGACCTCCTGGCTCTCATCCAGCTCATTGCTCTCCCAATCCCCAGATACTGGCTTCTGGTGGGTGGTTCTACTGATGATAAAATGTAAGTATGCTATAAAATATATAAATACTTATGAAATATAAGTATGATGATAAATATGCTTTCATGCAAGGAGTCTCAAAGGGTGGTCACAAGACCACCACAGCTGCATTACCTGAAAACTTGGTAGAAATGCAAATTCTCAAGTTTTTTGGGGGGGAGCCATTCATGTTTTAGCAAACTCTCCTTGTGTTTCCATTGTACAATAGGTTCACAACTTCCTGCTAACTGTATTCTCTAGATTCTGGTGGGTTAATTACCCTTCCACTTTTAGTAAACTACTCATGAAAACAAAAGAAAACCGCCTTTACTAAATAATTGACTTAGGTAAAGGCAATTTCAAGTTCCAGAAAACACATTTCTAGACTGGGTAGGAACTTTGATACTCCACAAATTATGTCCACCATTCACTAAAACAGTAACAAAAACATCTGAGAGACACCCCCTCGCCTCCCCCGGGCCTCAATCTATTATACATCTTCAAACAATGTTCAAAATCCCAGGAAATATTTTAAAATAAAATATCATATATCTAGGAAAAACAGGTGTGTGGTATTTTTTGTTTGGTTGATAATATAATCTACACTCATGGTGGAAAATGAAAAATACACAATTTGGGACAACAAAAAAATCACTTATAATTCCTTTGATGGATAATTCATGTTATTGTGGTGTACTTTTCACCTTTTATGAAAAATTTTTTGACATGGTTGAGATCCTAAAAGAAACTTGTTTGCTTAACCCATTTTGACTCATCATTCCAAATATGCAACATCTATAAAAACTTAAATTGAGCAACAAATATACTGGTAACTGAAATAGTATTTGAATATTTATTATGTTTGCAGAGTTGAAAACTTGTGACTTAATAGGTTAAAGAATATTCAGTATCACTACCTTTATAAGTACCATTAAATGTTGATCTCAGAATAAAGGACAAAACAAGAAGGAAAATATAATTGTTAGACATATGCATTTTTATAAATGTGAAAAAACATCCTTTAGAATAATTCTATGTAGTTAAAAATCTATATGTGAATATAATAAACAGACTTTTAAAATAATGGGTACATATTGCACACGGTTTTCATCTTGCATTTTAGCAATATACTTTTTTTAATATGTATTTTTAGTTGTTGATGGACCTTTATTTTATTTATTTATTTACATGTGGTGCTGAGAATCGAACCCAGTACCTCACACACATGCTAAGCAAGTGCTCCACCACTGAGCTACAATCCCAACCCATCAATATACTTTTGTAACTCACTACTTTTAATAGCTGTATAGGATTTTATTACATGTGTACGAAACATCTGAAGTTAAACTTTTATGGGCCAGTTGCAGAATAACATTGAAGTCAATAAAATTCAGATTGCCAACTAACAAGTGTTTCAAAACAACTTATTTTCTGTACTTGGATTTCTGGCACATGTGAAGGTTTGTGTGGTTCTAGTAATAACCCATAAATTTACCTTTTCTTTTTCTACACTTTCTCACATTCCTGAGCTTCTCTGGATTCCACAGAGCCTTGCATCTGTCTGTGCCTTCCACTTTTCTCATGATACTCCATCACAAAAGTCTAAAAGCTGTTGAACATTTATTTTCCTTTCAGGGAGAGAGGGAAAAGTTGACCCAAGACAAAATTATGTTTAACAGGCAGATGGAAGAGGAAGGTTGAAATATTCATTTTGATCCATTATACAATTCACTTAATAAATCTCCTATTAGACATAGAGTTTGATACTTGCTGTAAGAAACAATGATGCAATGAACAGCTTTGTACCTAAGTATTTGCAATAATCTGCAAAAATAGTGTTGGGAGTATTTTTATATTGTATCAAAGGAAATGTAAATTTAAATTTTGATTACTATCAAATTGCTTCCAAAGAGACTGAAGTTTATACATTTGCCAACAACATATGCAAGTGCCTGATTCCCTACCCACTTCACAACACTTTGCTATTCAAATAGGTGAAACATAAAATCTGTTACTTGTAAATCTGTGACTTGTTCTCTCTCTCTTTTTTTTTTTTTTTGTAATGAGTGTTGAACCCAGGGCCTTGTGCATGCTAGGCAAGCCTCTATCACTAAGCAATACCCCAGCCCAATTTTATTTTTTATTTTAAAAAATGTTAGAATGCCTTTGTTTGTATTTAATTGTAAATGAGAATAAGACTCTTTTTTAAACTTGTTGATGGACCTTTATTTTAATAATTTATTTATATGTGGTGCTGAGAATGAAACCCAGTGCCTCACACATGCCAGGCAAGCGCTCTACCACTGAGCCATAGCCCCAGCTCAAGACTATTTTCTTATGTATTGTGATTTTCTTTCTTTTTCTGTGCCTTTTATTTTGTATTAGATTATTTTCTTTTTAAAATATTTTAAAATATTTGTATTAAGAATTAGCCTGTTGATCTATCATGTGTGTTCTAGATACCCTTACTATTTTATTAGTTTTCAGGGTTATAAAAATTATTTCATGTTTTCCTGCAAACTTTTAATCATTTTATGCAAATAATGATCTACCTGGAGTTATTTACTATAAGGAATCACATAAAGATACAACTTTAGGCTGGGAGTGTAGCTCAGTCGTTGTGTTTAGCATGCTCAAGGCCCTGGGCTTGATCCCTAACATAGCCATAAATAAATACATACATACATACATACATACATACATACATACGATTAACTTCCTTCCTTCCCCTAAGTCTAGACAATGGATATGGATACCTGCTTTTCCTTTCCTTTTCCTTCTCCTTCTTCTTCTGTGCTAGGAATCAACCCCAGGGCCTGTGCATGCTAGACAAGTGATTTACCACCAAGCTACACTTCCACCCCATACTTGTTTTTTTAAGGTCATCATTGGTTTTTTTTGGATTTGAGTTACCAAATCCAATAAAAATTATTTTGTTCTCATCTCACTTAACTAGTAGCATTCCACATGGTTGATCACACTCTCCTCTGTAAAACATATTCTTCCTTAAGTCTTACTTTCTTGGGTCGCCTCATTGGCTAAGTATTGAAAATATCTTATCTTCTAGACAAGATATGATTTGAGAAATATAGTCACGTTAATAGAGTTTTATTACAACAAAGCAAATTTGATTTTTTTTTCTAAAATAAAGCCTTTCTAAAATCTGGAACAAGACAGGGATGCCCTCTATCACCACTTCTATTCAATTTAGTTCTTGAAATACTAGCCAGAGCAATTAGACAGACAAAAGAAATTAAAGGCATAAAAATAGGAAAAGAAGAACTTAAATTATCACTGTTTGCGGATGACATGATAATATATTTAACAGACCCAAAAGAGTCTACAAAAAAACTGCTAGAGTTAATAAATGAATTCAGCAAAGTGGCAGGATATAAAATCAACACGCATAAATCAAAGGCATTCCTGTATATCAGCAACAAAACTTCTGAAATGGAAATGAGGAAAACCACTCCATTCACAATATCCTCAAAGAAAATAAGATACTTGGGAATCAACCTAACAAAAGAGGTGAAAGATTTATATAATGAAAACTACAGAACCCTAAAGAGAGAGATAGAAGAAGATCTTAGAAGATGGAAAAATGTACCCTATTCATGGATAGGCAGAACTAACATCATCAAAATGGCAATATTACCCAAAGTTCTCTACAGGTTTAATGCGATGCCAATCAAAATCCAAACGGCATTTCTTGTAGAAATAGATAAAGCAATCATGAAATTCATATGGAAAAACAAAAGACCCAGAATAGCAAAAGCAATTCTA